TTTATCTGGTGAAGTGACCAGAATATTAATTTCTGAGTTATTGTATTATAATTTTCCACTGGCTTTAATCATAAGAATTAATAACACTAGGGGGGAGGCTGGGAAGGGAGGTGAAGGGTAAACAAAGGAGGAGGCTGCAATGCTTGGTAAGAAATGTATGCATTATCCTGCCCATGTAATTGTAACCCCTCTGTACAGTATGTTCTCAAATAAAATAAAATTAAATTTAAAAAAAGAATTAATAACACTATAATATTATTACTGGTAATACTATATTATTAATAGCATACTATTAATAATTCTATACTATTAGTAATGCTGTAGTATTAACACATAGGAAATTACATACAGGAACAATGACTAATTTTTGTATATTACTTTTAAATTCTGAAATTTTGCTGATACCACTTATTTGATTTTTGATGGTATTCTTGATTATTTGGAGCTTCTACTTAAGCAATCATGTAATGTATTAACAAAGGCAATTTTACTTCTTTCTTCTCAATGTTTTCTTGTCTTGTCTTACTGCGTTAGATACAACTTCCTATGCCACACTGAAGAGGAGTGATGAGATAGGATGTCCCTGCCTTGTTCTCAGTCTTAGGAGAAAAGCCGATTTCTCACCATTAAGTGAACTATAGAGTTTTTGTAAATGTTGAGAAAGTTCCCTCCTCTTCCTAGTTTGCTGAGTTTTTTGTTTTATTTATTTTTTTTAGTTTTTTTTTTTTTGGTCAGTTGTGGGGCTTGAACTCTGAGCCTGGGCACTGTCCCTCAGCTCTTCAGCTCAAGGTGAGTTCTCTACCCCTTGAGCCACAGTGCCACTTTCGGTTTCCTGGTGGTTAACTGGAGATAAGAGTCTCACGGACTTTCCTGCCCAGGCTGGCTTTGAACCATGATCCTCAGATCTCAGCTTCATAAATTGCTAGGATTACAGGCGTGAGCCACCGGCGCCCTGCTGCTGAGTATTTTTGCCACAAACAGATGTGGGATTTTGTAAAGTGCATTCCTCACACCTCTGTTCCTTAAAGTTGTTGGGTATAATAACCCTCCTGTAAAATAGCTTGGGCCTGGTGACTTGTGGATTGAGGTTTCCAAATCTATTGCAGGTAAGTAATCTAGTACAATCACTTAATCTTTTTCATAAATATATAGTTACTTCCCCATTATCTTTGAGAGAGAGAGAGAGTGTGTGTGTATGCTTCTCTTTTGATTAGCTTAGCCAGACATTCTATTGTGGCATTTTCCAACTCTTTTATTACGTAGTACTCCCATTTCTACATCCTAATTTATGAATTTCTTTTTCTTTTAAATTTTGTGTCAGTCCTGGTTGGGGGGGGGGGGGGGTGAACTCAGGGCCTAAGTGCTGTCCCTGAACTTTTGTGCTCAAGGCTAGTGCTCTTCGTCTATGAGCCACAGCTCCACTTCCACCGTTTTGGTGGTTAACTGTAGGTAAGACTCTCATGGACTTACTTGCCCAGGCTGGCTTCAAACTGTCATCCTCAGTTCTCAGCCTCCTGAGCAGGTAGAATTACAAGAGTGAGCCACCAGCTCCAGGCTTGACTTTCATATTTTATGCTTACTAAATTTCTTCTGCTTTCCTTGGGTTTACTTTATTTTTTCCTAAAGTTTGGGGTTGTTTATTTAATTTGCCCTTCCCCCCATGATTGAGCACAGCACTAACACATCCTACAGGCACATCAGCCAGCAGAGGAACCCCCCTCCCCCCCCATCCTGCTCCCCAGCCCTCTCAACCTCCTTCCCGGCCCCGCCCCCCTCCTCTGGCAGAAGCCTTCCCCGCCCTCCTGGAACCCCGGCCAATGGCTCTGCAGGGCCGTGGCTCCTGGATGCCCGCGGATTGGTCCGTTTCCTGGTCCTGATCTGGACGGTGGCCAGAGGAGGACAAAAGGCTTTTTTTAGCGAGTCGAATGGTGTTGGTGATGCTGGGAACCAGCTCCCCATACACTACACCGGGCGGAACCCACGGCAACATCCTCGTCTGGGCTTGCGGTCCTCGGGAAGTGACAGTGGGCAGAAAGCCGTGGATCCAGGCAGGCGAGGCCAGGCGGAGACAGGTGCGGAGGGACCCAGGGCTGAGGGGGAGAAGAGGACGACGTCTGCGTGCTGGAGTTCCAATTCCACCCCTCCCTCCACCCCCTCCCCCGGCAGCCCGCCCCCCTCCCCCCACCGCAGCAGCCCGCCCCCCTCCCCCCCCCTCCGTCCCCGCCTCGGCCTCTCCTGCTCCCCCACCCCCACCCCCACCCCAGCGACGGGACCTACGGAATGTTTTCATCTCTGTAAAGAAGAGTTCTCCCTGCTCCCCCATTAACTCCTCCATTGCTTATTTTTAATCTATGGACTAAGAGACTTTCTTTACTCAATGCACTACAACCCGTCAATTTGAACTTGTGTTTGGAGCCCTGGAAATCTCTTCAAGCCAGTAGTCTCTGTATCTTCACATAAGTCCTTCCTACATTCCTTATTTGCTGGCCTAAAGCGATGCGGGCTCACTTTGTTCTTAGTCCTGCCTTCAAAGTAGCCCATCTTGGGGCCGTCCTTGACAGAGAAAGAGAGCTGGAGTGTTTATCAGTTATTGGTTGTATTAATTGACAGGTTGAGATGCAGGGGGCAGCAAGTCAACCGTAGTGGTTGTTATTAGTTGAGAATATTGGTATACTTCGGTTGCTTACACTCTTTCTCAAGCTCTCTGGTATATTAACCATTAAATAAATTTTGTGCTAACAAAAACATTAGTCTTTGTAAAGACTATATAAGCCACAGTTTTCCCATTGGGAGTTACTTTTTTTTAGATGAATCGTTATCAAAAACATGGCTGAATGATTTACTTATCTCATTATTTGCACATCTTCTACATAGAATAATACTGTCAAAAATGTCTTTTGAGTTTCAAAAATCACCTATTTGGTGTTTCCAGGAAGCTAACTATCTCAGACTTCAAAAGGTACAAAAATGAAGAAAGTGAGATATGTCAAGGGATTTTTATCTTGAGGCAATTTGATGGGTCTACATTGCAAGTTTGGAAGTGATTCTGTGCTGTTCTATATAAAAACTGCAGACCAAGATATCAAACCAAATATGAGCAGTGCACCAGTAGCCATGTGCTTTGAAGTCAGTTGTTGGAGTTTATATGTTTCTATAATACAACAGTGTACACTTTTGACTTCTGGATTCAAAGCTAATTCCAGCATTCCACAACATACAGGAATAACTTGTGTGTTTGTATGGTAGAGTTGGTATGCTAAGTGAAATGCAAAAAATGCTCCAGACTGAGGCACACCTATTATTGAGATGTAGGAAAATTCCATCGTATTAAATAGAAGATGCCTTTGTAAATATTGCTGTATTTTTCCTAGGGCATTTTAAGACCAGTAATATTTAGGACATGCAAGGGAAATTAATTAATCTAATTGTGTCGGTGGCTGTTCATGAATATCTAGTAGTGAAACTGACTATTTTTGCAGAACAATTTTAGGTTTACAGAAAATAGAGAAGATGGGGCTGGGAAGGTGGCTCAGTGGTAGAGCGCTTGCCTTGCATGCCAGAGGCCCTGGGTTCGATTCCTCAGCACCACATAAGCAAAAAGAAAAAAGCCGGAAGTGGCGCTGTGGCTCAAGTGGTAGAGCGCTAGCCTTGAGCTGAAGAGCTAAGGGACAGCGCCCAGGCCCAGAGTTCAGGCCCCACGACCGGACCCAAAAAAAAAAAAAAAAAGAAAATAGAGAAGATAATACAGTGTTCCCATACATCTTGGAGCCACTGTCCCTATTATTAACATACTTAGTATAGTAATTTTATGGCACAATTGCAGGATAGTTAAAACAAGATGTAATTAAAATTAACAAACCCACACCAATGCACTGTTATGAACTACAGTGCAGACTTTATTTTGATTTCCTTAGTTTACCTAATGTACTTTTTCTGCTATGGATCCCATCCAAGATGCCACAGTACATACATGTCATTTCTCCTTAATCATTGCTGACCGTTTCACTTTTGTTCTTTGTTTTGGATGACCTTGCCAATTTAGAATGTTGGCGCCTCTACTAGAATTTTCACAACATTAAACTGAAATTTAGGGCTTTAGGGTGGAAAACTGCCTACCACTCCTGTCACATCATGTCAAGATGTTGATATTGACACTAATGACTTGGGTGAAGTAGCTTGTGTCCAGGTTCTCCACTAGAAAGTGACTCTGCATTCCTTCTAGGCCAGAAGGAAGTCCCTGGGTGTGACTTGCATTTAACTTTTTATTTTTTATTTTTTGGGTCCAGTCGTGGGGGCTGTACTCTGGGCCTGGATGCTGCCCCTCAGCAATTCAGCTCAAGGCTAGTGCTCTACCACTTAAGCCACAGCGCCACTTATGGCTTTTTTCTTTTTGCTTATGTTGTGCTGAGGAATCGAACCCAGGGCCTCATGCATGCAAGGCAAGCGCTCTACCACTGAGCCACCTTCTCAGCCCTAACTAAAGTATTTTTACAGAATAAGTCCAGTTATTTGTTTTGGATGAAACAGATAAAAATATTGACTCCTTGAGCTTCCCTAGAAATGAAACAGGTATTTAGGTGTGCACACGACCCTTCTGTAGCTGGCAGGTTGGGTTCATTGTTGCAATGTAGCTGCGAAGTGCTGTATTGTCCTTTCCCCCTGCTGAGAGCAAGTGGTTCCCACAATCTCTGTCTAGCTCAGTTCTGTAGTAAGACAGGGACGCTTGGTCTCAAACATCATTTCTCTAGTGGTGTTAGGAAAACTGTTACATCAGCCTAATTGATTTGTCAGTGTAATTAGTCATTAGCCTTTAAAAAAAAAAAAAGACTGTGTTGCTTCCTGATTCAGTGTTCATCAATATATTGGACCAAGAAGAACAAGAGAGAGACATTTCAAATTCTGCCAAAGAAACAGATTTAATGTTTTTCAGTAATTTTGAGGAAAAATAGATAGTTTTTTCATTAACACACATAAAAGTTAGAGCCATAGATTTTTTGTTTATTTTCTTCTTTAAGCTCTGAGCCAAAATAGCAGAAGCTACTTGTTTTTGTATTTGTAGTAAGACAGCAGAGAAAACACAAGAAGAAAATAATTCAAGCATGGGGCCAGACAGAAGAAAACCTAATAGGACCTATTTTAAATCTCTGGTTCTTCATCCTAAAATTTGGTACAATTATATCTGTAATTTAGGAATAATTAATAGAATGAAGGGTCTCCTTAATGGTAGGGAATGAGAGTTAGAAATCAAATGGCTTTTATCCCAACTCTGATAGCAGTTCACATTTTCCTCTCTGAAATATTATAAGGAAGTGTTTCTCTGCTCTTTGTGACAAGCAAGAGACTGAAGTTAGATAGAAGGTATAGCATACCAGCCTCTAGAAGATGTATGCCAGGGATTTATTGCAGTGTCTGATCTGATAAGAGCTCCTCTTCCCTAGTATTGCTAATTAAGATGCTTTTCCTATGTAGTTAGTTCCTGAATTAACCGAGGCAGGATCTCATCTCCTTACAACAGAGCTGTGAAGTGCTTTGTTGTCTTTGTCCTGCTCAAAATAAACTTGTTACCTTCCAGGCCCTGCCTGCCATGTGCCTGGCAGCAGGCAGGGATGCTTGGTTGCAGACACATCCATCAACTAAAGCATTCACTTGACTATGACTCTTGAAAATTAGGACTTGTAAGCTAGGGGCTGGCAGCTCACATCTGTAATCCTAGCTACAAAGGAGGCTGAGATGGGAGGAATAACCAGCTAAAAGCTGTAAGTGGAGCTGTGGCTCAAGTGGTAGAGCAAAAAAGATGAGCAACTGTGTGAGATCCTGAGTTCAAGCCCCACACCAACACACACACACACACACACACACACACACACACACACACACACACGAAAAGGAAATTAGCACTTGTTAATATTTTGTAGATTGAAGAAAAAAATGTGCAGGAAGAAAATAAAGGACAAGCTATAGTTCTTTTTTTGTCCCTGACTTACTGGTAGTATTTTAATTCCTTATTTAATAAAGCATTTTTCACCAAAAGTTGGTTTGTGGAGAGATTCATATTTTGTGCCATACAAGAGTGTGCAGGAGCTGCTTTTAGAATCAAAATATGCATATGTACTCATGTCACAGGTTTTTGATTTTCACATCTGTTATTATACACTACAATCTGCTACTACCTGTGAAAAATTGAATTTTCAGTTGGATATCTATCATCTGCTTTGAATTTACTGTGTTTATTCTAGTGAAGTAAATCATGGACTGATTTTGAAAGTGATTTTTTTTATTAGGTAGGCTTGAAAATCAGGGAAATGAATCAGAAAAATAATCGTATGGCCTGGTAAAATGATAAGATTTATGTAAATTGTACTAAAAGAAAGTTGTGATTGGCTAGTATACACAACATGAAAGCAAATGTGAAATGTAGCCTAGATTTCATGCTGAATAGTATTGATATTCAAAGGGAAAAAATCAATAATTGTGTTAGGTTTGATTGTTTTTCATTTACATGAGTCTTTCTTTAAAGTTTTGTTGCTTATGTCTTGTATTTCCTTCACATTTCCTCTACAATTAGAACTTTGTCAGTATTTTCTGTCAGCTTAGTAAGTGGCAAAGTATTTATTATTTTTTATTTATTTTAGCAAATAAATAGCCATTTGTGGGTATCACTAAGTAAGTTGAATTGTGCCTTGCTACTAATGTAAAGATGATTTTGTGTTTTAATACAGAAATTGATAGGAGTACATGACAAGGTTGTGGTCACAGATATGATGGACCTGATGTAGGAAGAGTCACAAGTGAAACCACATATTGTTTGGATAAAAATAAATTGCCAGGGTCTTTATATTTATTTTTCTCTTCTGATTCTTTGACAGTTTTTGACATATAGTAGGGGAGATGGACTGAGCAGGAAACAGTAGTCTATATGACTACCTTGGTCCTGGACCACAACTGTGCAGGAGTATGTGATGATGAATGTGATCTATATCTGTACTGTTCACAACAAGTCCCAACAGGTTACAAGTGAATGTTAAAATGAAATAATGTGGGGCTGGGAAGATAGCTCAGTGGTAGAGTGCTTGCCTTGCATTCATGAGGCCCTGGGTTTGATTCCTCAGCACCACATGAGCAGAAAAGCTGGAAGTGGTACTGTGGCTCAAGTGGTAGAGCGCTAGCCCTGAGCTGAAGAGCTGAGGGACAGTGCCTAGGCCCAGAGTTCAGGCCCCACAAACAACAAAAATAAATAAATAAATAAATAGATAAATAAATAAAGGAGCATGTGAATTTTCTATTTTATCTCATTTTCATTCTGTTAAATTTCAGTAGCCATAGGTGTCTTGTGACTGATGTGTCAGAAAGCACAGTCCTAAGCAATGGTAGCATTCCAGCCTCTACAATTGCAGTTAACAGTTGCAAAATGGATTCATTGCTTTGCTTGGTCTTTAATGCTGCCATCTCTTGCAGGCTGGAACCCACTCTTTCTTTGGTATAGTCTTTAATTTTACTACCCCCAAATCTAATTCTCTTCACTGCTTCATAAATAAATAATGCTCAAGATACCTGAATTTTTAAAATCTCATTTTGCAGTAAGATGAGCCTTGAGTCCTTCTGTACTAACTGCAAGATCAATCTTTTTCTCTAGATATTTCAGCAGCATCTAGTGCTCCATGTAGAAGCACATTTTCTATATAATTTTAGCAATAAAGAGCCACTGATGACTGACAAGTGGCTCACACGTATTAATGAGTTTGGATTTTTGTTCAGATTTGGCAGTGGGGCATCGATTTGGAAGGAAAGCTTGTGTCCATAGACATGAAAGACAAGAGGATTCCTTGTGACATTGAGATTCCCTGCAGTACTCCAGTGGAGGAAATGCCAGACCACAGTGGTGGCTCATTTCTGGGAATAGGGCTTGCAGTGCTAAATAGGTGATTACAATGTGCATTGTCATCTTTCCAGGAATTTTCAATCTTGTTTTAATGCTGAGAGCTAATCAGCCATTTGGTTTCATTTTTTTCTTTGTGTTCTTTGTGCTGGTCCTGGGGCTTGAACTCAAGGCTGGGGTACTGTGTCTGAGCTTTTTTTTGCCCAAGGCTAGCACTCTACCACTTGAGCTCCTCTTCTGACTTTCCTGCCTGTGCTGGCTTTGAACCATGATCCTCAAATCTCAGCCTACTTAGTAGCTAGAACTACAGGTGTAAGCCAAAAGCACCTGGCTAAAAACACGGTCTTTGATAGTAAAGCAGCTTTAGTCCTGAGCTCATGTGTGCATCACTGGCCTTATCCTCAGTTAAATTAGCAGAGCATATGTCAATTATTTTCTTTATGATTGGTTATTTTTTTAAAAAGTGGGATCTGTCCACTCAAAGTGGCTCAAGTCTGTAATCCTAGCTACTTGGAAAATAGACATGGGGATCATGGTTTGAGACCAGCCTGGGCGAAAATATTCATGAAACTCAATCTCAATCAATAACTGAGCATGGTGATATGTGCCTGCCATCCCAGCTCCAGAGGGAAACACAATGGCTGTGCTAGGGGAAATCACAGAAAATGCTGGATCAGGCCAGGCTGGGCATGAAGTGGACCCTACCTTAAAAATGGCCTGTTAAAAAAGGGACTAGAGAATGGCTCAAGTGGTAAAGTACCTGCCTAGCAAGCTTGAGGCCCTGAGTTTAATCTCTCCTACTGCCAAAAAGATAGATTAAATCATAGTGACAATAGTAAATAAAATGGGGTCTATAAATTACTTGCTTAGAAGTTTATTCCCTAGTTTTGTAAAGATGGTTATTTTGGGGATCCTCTATTGGGTATTTTCTGTTCTTACTGGTTAAAGATATGTGCTATATAAAATCATCCCATTATGTTAATAGCATATCTGCCTTTATTGTGTTAGGTAATAGGCAGAATAGAACACATCTTAAATTACTTTTAAGGAAAATATTTAAGTTGATTTTGTTTGGAATTATTCTTTGATCTGAAGGAAATGATTTTTTTAGTGCTTAGTGTAAACTGGAGCCTTTTGCTAAGCACAAGCAATGGTCATGTGCTAGGGTTAAATCCTACAAACATTACTGTTTTATATGTAAGTTCAATAAATTACAATAAAGTATATTTTTCTTTGAAGTAGTTTCCTTTTTTCTTAAAAAATTGTTGCTTTTTGCAGTGACTCCATATTTTCAAAGGAGGAAAAGGTGAAGCAGTACTCTATAAGTATAAAATCTATTCCAGTTGCAAAATTTCATGGAAATATGCCATTTCTAAGGTTTCCATAGTTTCCAGATAGCTGTTGCTTAGCAACACTACAGACATTCATCGGTGCAGATGTTCATAAGCACCATCTACCAATCACTGGCTTTAAAAAAAGAAAAAAGTATTTGAATGTAGATTTATCCCTCTTTTGCTGTGGTACTTTCTGGTATACTTGAAGTAGCTATTAGCAATGACATTTTCTCTGTTAAAGAACAAATACTGATCAATACGGGTATTTTCCATAACAATTTTCTAAGAATAGAAACATGAATATGATTTAAAATTTTCTTTCTTGTGTGTATACTGGTTCTGGGCCTCTAACTTAGGGCCTGGGTGCTGTTCTGAGCATTTTTGGTCAAGGTTAATGCTTTACCACTTGATCCAAGCTCCAATTCCAGCTTTGTGGTGTTTTTTTTGTAGAAAAGAATCTCAGAGGGGCTGGGAAGGTGGCTCAGTGGTAGAGCATTTGCCTTGTATGTCTGAGGCCCTGAGTTCGATTCCTCAGCACCACATAAGCAAAAAGAAAAAAGCCGGAAGTGGCACTGTGGCTCAAGTGGTAGAGCGCTAGCCTTGAGCTGAAGAGCTGAGGGACGGCGCCCAGGCCCAGAGTTCAGGCCCCACGACTGGACCCCCCCCCCAAAAAAAAGAATCTCAGAGACTTTCCTGCCAAGGCTACGTTTGAACCATGATCCTCAAATCTCAGCCTCCTTGAATAACTAGGATTACAAGTGTAAATCACAAGCAGCTTAAAATTTTTATGTTATCTATGCTATTTATTGGCAGGATCTCATTATGTAAATCAAGCTAGCTTCAAATTTATGATCATCCTGCCTCAACCTCTCTAATTCTGGGATTATAGGAATATACAAAATTCTACCATGCCTGGCTATTTTTGTATTTTTAGTAGAGTTTATTTCTCCAAGCAGGAAGAACAAAAA